TATGAGGGATTCAGTGGAGAACAAGGTAAGCGAGAAATCTGAGTTTCCTCATCTGGAAAACAGGGATAGCAGAGTGCCTACCAGATGAGACTGGTGAAAAGAATGAGAGAAAGTAACCCATATAAAGTACTCAGAACCACCTCTGCCACACTGATGGCTGCCACCACCACTACCGTCGACATCATCATCATCATGGTGCTAAATTAAATTCAATGTTGCTAACAAAACAAATCTAAGATCAAAATAAGCCTCCAGATATAGCCTTCACCTTACCCAGGAAAATTACTTAAGAAACTCTGTGAGACTTCATCAGCCTGAGACCAGAAGAACTAGATGGTGCCTGGCTACCACCAATGACCACCCTGACAGGGAACACAACAAAGAGTCCCTGATGGAGGAGGAGAAAAGTGGGGTGCAGAAATCAAATTCTAGTAAAAAGACCAGACATAATGGTCTGAGACTGTAGGAACCCCAGAAAGCATGTCCCCCGTACTCTCTCTCAACCCAGAAGTAAAACAATTCCCGAGGCCAACTCTTCAGACAAAGATTGAACTGGACTATGGGACACAGAATGACACTCATGAAGAGTGTGCTTCTTAGCTAAAGTAGAAACATGAAACTAAATGGGCAGCTTCTGTCTGGAGGTGAGATGAGAAAGATGAGAAGGTGGAGAGGGTTAGGGGCTGGCTGCATGGATGTGGCAAATCAGGGTGGAAAAGGGGAGTGTGCTGTCATAGTATAGGGAGAGCAACTGGGGTCACATAACAGTGTATGGGGTCATGCATAAATTTTTGTATGAGAGACTGACTTGAATTGTAAACTTTCACTTAAACTACAACAATAAAAAAAGAAACTCTGTGAGAAAATGGAACACTATGAAAACTATGTAGAAAGATGAAAAAATATTTCTCAAAGAATGTTAAGTGAAAATATATTTTTTAAAGATTCTATTATCATTAATAACAACAGCATCAGAAGGCACTATTTTAAGCTCTTTATATATACAAATAAATATGCTAATATTCCTAAAACCCTATGAGGTACGTGACATTATTATCACCATTTTACAAATGATGAACGTGGGGCACAGAGAGGTTAAGCAATTTGCCCAAGGCCACAGAGCCAAAAAGTAGCACAGCCAGGATTCGAATGTGAACCATCTGGGTCTAGGGTCTGTGTTCCTCACTGCCTGTCGGTTACAGCCTCATGAAGGCAGTGTTCTGTTGGATATGTACCATGACAACAGAAGAGCAAGGAAAGGAAGGTGACATGGGAGGTGTTCCCTTCCCCACTCCATGTAGCTGCTCACTCCTTGGGCAGAGAAGAGGACCATGCTTCAGTCAAGAAGATATGAGTATCAATTCCACCCCTAGGTATATATACCCAAGAGAATGGAGAACCTTTGTTTTCAAAAACTTGTACACAAACGTTCATAGCAGCATTATTCTATGCCAAAAAATAGAAGCAACTCAAATGTCCACCAAGTGATGAACAGATAAACAAAATGTCGTATCATCTATACAATGGAATAATATTCAGCCATAAAATGGACTGAAGTCCTGATACATGCTACAACATGGATGAATCTTGAAAACAGTATCTGAGTGAAAGAAGCCAGATACAAAAGACTACGTATCGTATAACTCCATTTATATGAAATGTCCAGAACGGGCAAATTTATAGAGATGGCAAGTAGATTACTGGTTGCCAGGGACTGCGGGGAAGGGAGTGGTGAGTGACTGCTATCAGGGACGGGTGATAAAAATGTCCTGGGATTAGACAGTGGTGATGGCTGCACAACCATACTATAAACCAGTACATTTTATACTTTAATGGGGAATTTTATAGTATATGAATCATATCTGAAAAAAATATACACATACATATGTAGATGTGCTTCCCCATAAAAATCTCCAGAAGGAAAACATTGACTTATCTGTCTCCTATAACAAATATAATCACGTTACCACTATGGCTTAGTTCTAAATTGCTTCTTTTTGGCAGTTTAAAAAAAAAAAGCCAATATATAACTTTTGAAAACCAATGAAAAAACCTTATAAAACCTTTTAAGTATTATTAAATTTATGATAACACATTAAGTTTTGACAAATGATACAATAAAATTAAATTAATCCAATGAAAAAGAAAAAACTTCTGTTTTATTGCTATGGCTTTTTCCTTAAAATTAGTCCTCAATGTGCACATTTCATTTGCCCCTCCCTTTTGTAACTTTCTGCCTGTGCCACATACATACTAGCTGTATGACTGTTATGGATTGAACTGTGTCTCCCAAAAATTTGTGTCAAGTTGGCTAGGCCACGATTTCCAGCATTATGTGACTGTCCACCATTTTGTCATCTGACATGATTTTCCTATGCATTGTAAATCCTACCGCAATGATGTTAATGGGAAACTCTGGTGGTGTAGTGGTTAAGAGTTTAGCTGCCAACCAAAAGGTCAGCAGTTCCAATCTACCAGGCGCTCCTTAGAAACCGTATAGGGCAGTTCTACTCTGTCCTATAGGGTCACTATGAGTCGGAATCGACTTGATGGCAGTGGGTTTGGTTGTTTATGATGTTAATGAGACAGGATTAGAGGCAGTTACATTAATAAGGCAGGACTCAATCTACAAGATTAAGTTGTGTCTTAAGTTAATCTCTTTTGAGACATAAAAGAGACAAAGGAGCAGACAGACCGGCGACCTCACAGGAGCCAGGAGAATAGCACATCCTTTGTACCCGGGGTCCCTGTGCTGAGAAGCTCCTCAACCAGGGAAGACTGATGACAAGGACCTTCCCCCAGAGCCGAAAGAGAGAGAAAGCCTTCCTCCGGAGCTGGCACCCTGAATTTGGACCTCTAGCGTCCTAGACTGTGAGAAAATAAATTTCTCTTGTTAAAGCCATCTACTTGTGGTATTTCTGTCTTAGTCTAAATGACTAAGACAATGACCCAGAGCAGATAATGTACCTGCTTGTGCCTCCGCTTCCTCGTCTTTAAAATGGAGGTGGGCACAAACAATGCCTGCCTAATGAGGTTGTTGTGAGCATTAAACACAAATTTGTAAAGCACTTGGAATAATGCCTAGAACATTGTGAATGCTTTTAAGTATTATGAATGATTAGTGATGCAGTAGCTGTTGTTGTTGCTATGTACTGTCGAGTTGATTCTGACTCATAATGACCCTACAGGACAGAGTAGAACAGCCACATAGGGTTTCCTAGGCTGTAATCTTTAGGGAAGGAGACTGCCAGGTCCTTCTCCTGAGGAGCCACTGGGTGGGTTCAAGTCACCAACCTTTCGCTCAGTAATTCTTGAGCCACCACGGCTCCTTAATGTAGTACATTGTTGTTGTTGGGTGCTGTTGAGTCAGTTCCAACTCATAGCGACCCTATGTACAACAGAAGGAAACACTGCCCAGTCCTGCGCCATCCTCACAATCACTGCTATGTGTGAGTAGATAGTGTTCCACAAATACTATGGGACTGTGTACAGTTGACACCTCACATGATAAAGAAAGGCCTTAGGGAATAAATACAGAACTCCTGACTCTAATCATCCCTTAAAATGCATGAAATGTCAGAAATGTACAACTGTCCATTCAAAAATATAAGGTAGATAATCCTTTAAGATGATTTATACAGCATTAAACATCACACTCAGAAGGAGGAACCAGGCAACAAGCAAGTATGGTTTGTGGCAGGAAGGTCATACACAAACACTGAAAAATCTCGTTAGGACACAGAAAACCAATATACAACGCTATAAACAATTTTAAATCTGGGGGAAAACCACAAATCACCTCAGCTACTGAACAAAGAGTATGTGCGTACTCACAGCATACAGTCCTTCCTCTATTGTCCATCTAATGGGATTTTTCTCTAAAAATGATTGAATAAGTAAAACTAATTGGAACGGTCTGTCTCCATCACTGACTCGAACAGCACATGCTAATTTTCAGGTTACTTTTCTGAAAATATGATGTGGCACTTGAACAGAATGAAGCACAAATTTGTTTTTTAAGTAACCCCATGTTCATTTCCTTTGATTGGCTATAGTAAAATTAATGTGTGATGTCATTTATATAAGTTAATCCATTTTTTCTTATCTGTCCCTAGGCAAACAAAACACACTCTTTAATATGAGAAGTTTTATTCTGGAAAGCTATCATGCAAAAACCACTCTTTAAAACTTAATTTTACAAAGTCAATTCCAAGTCTGATGTAAAGAAGGAGTTACAAAGCAAGTGCCTTCATCAGTTAAGGAAACAAATATGGACGTTTGATGTGAATGTCAAATGTGAAAACAGTTTTGATCTGGAAAGAACTATTACAATTTAGCAAAGTAGAAGGTTATTATATCATGAAAATCTCCAAAGCAATTCCAGAGATTGTCTCTATTAAAAGACTTAGGTACTACAATCTTATGAAGTAACTCAGGTTAAAAATTTATTGGAAGTAAAATCTAAGGCAAAAGGATTCCTCTATAAAGACTGCTCAACGTTTTCAAAAAAGTCTTTTTGGATACCTGAAGTCTAGGTAGTGCAAGTAAAATCTTGAGCTGTAATTATCTAGATCCTCGCCACTCAGGTACAGCCCAAGGACCAGCAGCATAAGCATCACCTGGGAGCAGGTTAGAAATGCAGAGTCTCAGGTCCCCCTAGACCTAATGAATCTGTATTTTAACCAGTTCCCTAGGTGCTCTGTGTACACACTCAAGTTTGAGACACACTTATCTAGATATCTAATCTACCTGGCTCCATGAAGACAAGGAATATAAAGAGGCAATTAAATGTTTGGTTTTTTAGCTACAAGAGCTAGCTTTTCTGGTCAAGTGTCTCAACTATTAAAATTAAAAGGAAAAAATCTGGTGCACAGGAGCCACAGATAACACTTTGCTAACAAGACATTTCCAGAAAACTCAGAAATGATACAAATGGGGTATATGAAGTGCTTCCCATCCAGTCCAAATTAATCAAGAGTAAATAAAAACCATGTTTGTACCTGCAAAGTGCATAGGTGCGTCTTTATCCATGGCGATCAGGGGAGGGTCAAGGAGCACTGTATTATCATTTTCCGTAATGATACCATGATAGGTGGGTTCAAGCCATGGCTTATGCTTGTTAACTGTGTTGGTGGGGAAAAAAAAAGAAAGAAAATACACAAGGTTACAATTATTATTTTAAACTCATAACTATTTTTAAAGGAAACTCATAACCATTTTTTAAGGAAAAAAATCTGTCCATTTATATTATTAAAATAAAAGTCGTTATTAGTCTTGTATTTTTGTTGCAGTCTGGTATTAAGACCCAAATGGGATGAAATTCTAAAGTTAGGAGTATAGAAATTGAGCCTGTGAAGCAACCAGAAATAAGAAATAAATTGCTCTAGAAATCAGGAGAAAGAAAGAAGACAGATGGCTATAAACAAACTCACACTATCTATAAACAGAAAAGTTACAAAGAAAAATATGTTGTCATTTCTTTTATGACAATAGATATTACCTTCTTATTAAAAATTAACATTACAAAACAAAATTTAAAACAGAGTTCAAAGTAGATATTTTTAATGTAAAATTAATAACTATCGTAATTTTTGCAACTAACATGCCCTCCTAAATAATATACCCACATATATAATGCACATAGTGTGCCTAGGAAAATAATGCACGAGGGGGTTGCAAGGTTGACAAAAACATTTAACATGTCCATTATTTGAAAAAAAAAAATACAGTACATGCAAAAGTTCTAAAAAGACTTGATTTAAAACGGAGTGCTTAAGAATACCCACTCTGGAGTCAGGCCGACCTGGGATACGATTCCAGTTTCTCTCCATGATAAGTGTGACCTTGAGCAAGTTCATTGATGTCTAATTCTCACAGTCTCAGTTTCCTCATTTGAAATCCAAGGACACCATCACTCTCCTCACAGGGCAAGCACACACCACTGGAGAAGCAATTTCTTTCCCCTCCCCCATGGACTACTAGAACTGCTACCTAAGGTTTTAAGGTAAGAACTGCTGCTCTGGCATCTACTTACCTCACTTACCTGATAAAATAAATTTCTAGTTCCTGTCCATTTTGCTTTGTCTGGGGCCTTGCTCACAGCGGCCTACGCCTGGACTCTCCCGGATTCTAACTCATAGATACTAACTCCCTCCCCCTCCCTGAGCTTCCTATCTCCACTGGCATATTTTGGGCGCCGCCTCACAGCTCAAACCTTTTCATTTTCCTTTTATTTTCACCCTAAGATTGTTAACAGCTCACATTATAAAAGGAATAATATGAAATTTTCATTTCCAAGTATATGGTGCCTATTTTCCATAAGTGTAAGTCCATCCAGACATACCTAACACAAAACATAAATATTTATGCCTTCTTTAATACAATGCTATCAGTGACATGAAGAAATACAACCAGAATGGTCCTTAGAAGCAAGGATGGCAGGACTTCCACTCACTTACTTTGAATGCATCATCAGGAAAGACTAATCACTGGAAAAGGACATCAAGTTTGGTAAAGGAGAGGGCCAGCGAAAACGAGGAAAACCCTCAATAAGATGGACTGACACAACAGCCAAAGCAATGGCCTCATACCAACAATCATGAAGACGGTGCAGGCCCAGGCAACATTTCGTTCTGTTATCTGTGGGGTTGCCATAAGTCAGAGCCAACTTGACACAACTAAGAACCACCACCATGAAGCGATAATACTTCTTGCTATTCTGTAACAACTGTTCCACAATGACAGGAAAATGTGAAGATCAGCAGTGCCTAGCCTCGCCTGGCAACTACTCGAATAGGGCACAGTACTGGAGCAGTGAGCTCGCAGGTAAAATCCTAAATGAGAAGCATGTAAAGGCCTCTATTTGGAAGGAAAAAAAGGTCAGAGCAAAGCTGTCATCTTTCTAATTACTGACACGTTCACCAGTTATTTGCACAAAACACATAAAGCCAATAGCAAATTCTCTTGCCTTCACTTTCAAAACAATCCAGACCCAGCCACGTCTCGTCATCTCTGCTGCTCACCTCAACTACAAAAGTCAAGTAACTGACCCCCGTTTTCATTCTTGCCCTCCTACACTTAGGCTCCACACAGCAGCCAGGGTGAATCGTCCAGAACAGCGGTTCTCAAACCGTGGTGGTCTTTTGTTTACGAGGGTTGTTATCTATCTATCAGTATTTACTGTACTGGAAATTAAAACCAAGAAATACATTAATATTTATTCATTCATTTAAAAAAAAAAACAATAAACCCATTATATGTTAACATAAATATTATTTTTATGAAAATATATTTTCCAAAATCAAGTTTAGTGAGAAGAGTGGCAGTGTTTTACATTTCTGCAGATCGTTTTACTGTCTGGCTTAGGAAAAGATAGCTGGTTCTCACATCTGCTCCTGTAGTGAATGTGCTGCAATGTCACTTGTCCTGTAGTCTCTAGAAAACTACACTGGTCAAGAAAAGGCAAATAATGTCTTAATATCACTAAAATAGCTTGGACCTCTCAGAACCCCTGGAAGGGCCTCAAGAGACTCACTCCAGATCTCTGCTCAATGGTTCACCCCTCTGAGGACAACCTGCTGCCTTCTCTGCCCTTGCTCTTGTGCTTGTCTTCACCACCATCCACCTGCTGTACTCTGTCTGTTCTCCACTGTCTGTTCTCCACGTGTAGTGAGGAGAGGGCAGGAGGGGGCAGGGAGAGCCCTGGCCTCTGGAGCCCAACTACCCTGATCAGCCTGTGACCTTGGGGAGGTTACATGACTTCCTCTCTGGGCCTCAGTCTCCTTATCTGTAAAATGCAGACAATAAAGTACCCACCTTATACGTTGTTGTGTGGTTAACTCAGTCATAATGTGTAAAATGCTTAGAACAGTGTCCACCATTTAGTAAATGCCAAAATGTGGTGGTATTATTATTTCTCCTCCCTCACACACACTGGCACCTGAAAACGCAGGCTGTGAGGGGTGTGATCTTCTTGTTCTCAGTTAATTCCCAATACCTAGAGCTGTACGTGGCACGTAATTACTCAATATCTATTTGGAAAATGAATGGAGTATATAAAGAACCTCATACAGTACAAGAGGCACTGACGGTTCAATGATAGAATTCTCGCCTTCCATGTGGGAGACTCGGGTTTGATTCCCAGCCAACGCACCTCATGTGCAGCCACTACCTGTCAGTCAGTGGAGGCTTGTGGGTTGCTATTATGCTGACCAGGTTTCAGTGGAGCTTCTAGACTAAGAAAGACTAGAGAGAAAGGCATGGAGATCTACTTCTAAAAATCAGCCAATGAAAACCCTATGGATCACAAAGGTCCCATTTGCAACTGATCATGGGAATGGAGCAGGACTGGGCAGAGTTGTTCCATTGTGCAGGGGGGTCACCATGAGTTGGTGGCCAACTAGATGGCAGCTAATATCAACAACATAAAAAAAAAACCCATTGCCATTGAGTCAATTTTGACTCGCAATGACCCTACAGAGGAAAGAAGAACTGCTCCATAGGGTTTTCAAGGCTGTAATCTTCACGGAAACAGACTGCCACATCTTTCTCCCAAGGAGTGGCTGGTGGGTTCAAACCGCCGACCTTTCGGTTAGCAGCTGAGCACTTAACCACTGCGCCACCAAGGCTCCTTTACAACAACATATAGTACAAATATGAAATTCTCCCATGGAGAAGACAGCTTTTGAGTTGGGAATTTGAAAAACTCATATGATTTGGGGTTTTAGACACTGGGAAGGTGTTTTGATTTTCATTTGTTTGTGGCAGGCGGATGCTGCAAACAAGGAGGCTGGAAAATTCAGAGACATACTGTGGGTGAATCAAAACACTGAGAGATGTGTCTGCAAAAGGTGAGTTATGGTTAGATTATAGAGGAATCTACCATGAAATGAAACCCAGAGCCCAGAAACCAAAAATTAAAAGTGCCTCTGAAACGCGTCGTCTCCTCTTCTGGGACAGGAGACAGGAGAGGCAGTAAAGAAGAGAATCCAGGAGGTCACGGCACACCTGTCCTTCCCCTTCAGAAACTCCCCATATCACGATAAACAGTGACGTGTTAACTGGCGGAGTTGGTTGCCTTTCCCCCACCCAGCCTTTAGTCTCAGATGGTTCCACTGAACACAAAAGATCATTTCATTGGCGATCAGGTTGAACGCTTTACCTCACTGCTGAAACTCAGCATCCGTCCCTGGTTATCTTTTTAAATAAACCATGCTATTATTTCTGGCTGGAATACCGCTGGGAGTTACAGACGTAATGGAGTTTTAAAATGCCATTTTATTTCTGCTACTCTAATGGAAAGGCCCACAGCTAAAAATGGCTGATGGCTCAAGGAGAAAAATAATTTTATAGCCATAATCCCAGCCATTTTATTTTTTTCCCAGCATTCTCATCTTATAATTCAGAATTTCTAAAATGCTTCTTTAAACTGGCAGTAAATTGAAGAGGTCTGGTGAGTTCCAAAGACTGAGCTTTTGAATATTTAATCAATGATATTTTTAATATTTCATCACATTCAATTTGCATTATAAAACATTTATAGAAACAACATGACTGATGTTTCTGTAGTCATTAAAAAAAAAAAAAATCCCAAATAAACACAGAGACTACCGGCTAAAAGTCTAGGAAAGTGTCATCTGTGTTGAGTCTTTACCTGCATCATTTTGTCACATTCTAGCCCATAGAAAACCATAAACCTTAACCAGACTCAAACATCTACTAAACTTTAAATGGTATATTATTAATTTAAAATAATGGAATAGCAAAACTGGCAACCAGACCTTCTGTAAGTGTAGGATATACCGGGGATTAAAAAAAATAAAACTCATTTCAGTCAAGTCAATTCCAACTCATAACAACCCTATAGAACAGAACAGAACTGCCCCGTAGGGTCTCCAAGGCTATAATCTTTACGGAAACAGACTGCTACATCTTTCCACCACAGAGCAGCTGGTGGGTTCAAAACCACGACCTTTTGATTAGCAGTTGAGCGCTTTAATCACTGCACTACCAGGGCTCCTATATCTGGGATACACATCTATTATTTTAGGATATGATTAGTTTTTTTTGTTGTGGTGGTAAATTTTGATCATTAGAAATTGTCATGGATTTAAATACCAAGATT